TCATTCAAGTTTTTTCCTTTTCAGGTGGCATTGACAGTAGAAAGGTAAGTAGCTTTTCTAGATTAGAAGCAAATGGAAACGAAAATATTGTGACGAATGTTGCATTGCTTCCAGACGGCGTCCCTGCAGCCATGTAAGCAGAACATCGCATCTTGCTTCGTTGAAAATATGGGTTGTTGACGTGTTGACATGAAGAACAGTACAGACGATTTGTCGTGGCCGGCGAGGCGAGACGGTTTTTTCTGGCGTTTTTTGTGGGAAAACGACGCCGAAGTTTTCGTTATCATTGAAAAGGGTCAACATCCAATAAGGCCAACAAACCATCACTGATCAACATTCCTGTAAAGAACATTGTGTTATTTTCGATACCCGAACTCAAGATCGAACTCAGTCAAATTGCATCCCCACTATCCCTTAGGATGCCATCATACGCCATTTCAACCATCACGATGCTGCAGGGTCGTTGGAATGCATAGTTGATGTGATGGGGAAAGGGGGAGCTGGTAACGCGCCACGCAAACTTTCATCAAAATCTGCTTACTTTGAACTTGTCTTTATTGAAGGCTGTTTGTTTCGCCAGCTTTGCCAAACCAACTTTTCATTGCATGCTTCAACCGTGCATAGTGTATCATGTCTTTATTGAAGGCTGCTTGCTTTGTCAGCTTTGCCATACCAACTTTTCGCAGCATTCTTCAACCGTGCATAGTGTATTAAGCCTTGTTGACGTACCTACATGGAGCATTTGGCTACGGTACATTCCAAATACTTTACAAGCATCGGGGAGTTGGGAACTCAGCTCTTTCGCCTCTAACGTGCAGCACGGAGTGGTCATGCTTCTTCTGAGGCTGACCTGCAATGCTCTTGGCAGCCAGTGGTGTGACCAAAGGGGGGGGGGGGGGCTCAAGGAGCTTTAGCTCCTCTCCCCTTTCACGTGCGAGCGCAGTTTTTCACCACGGCACCGCTGAATATAAATGGCGAAATCTGGTGATTAGGAAGACTGCTTTGGCTTTAAATATTATAGGCACTACCACGGACAGCAGCTTGTAGAGTCTATCAGCCGTAATTAAGTAACAAAACTCGATCGAGTATGCACGGTGCGCAGCTGAAACAATTGTTTAAGGCACGAGGGCAAACCTACGTCGATAGGTCATTGTCACGTTAGGCTACTACTGTGCCTACTTATTAGCGTTTGTGAGGTGTGTTAGGCTGTTTGCAGTGCGCAGGTAAGTAGGTACCTACACACCACGCACTGCTACACCACTGACAGCAACCCTTGACATTATTCTCGATGGGGCTGGGAGTCACAAAAAAGCCTGCTCCGTCGCAAATCATGGAAGCCCCCGCCACGAATTCTGACTACACCCCTGTTAGTGGTGTACATTAATGTTAGTGATGTACCCTAATGTGTATATTAGATCTCCCGAGGTATGCACCCACTTCTGCAGCAAAAAAGGCAACCAAATCGTCTAAGGAAGAATGTAAGAAGCCTCTTTCAATTGTGCAATCTACACTACATTCTTCTGCATGCCTTACATTTGTCATCTGTTACGCGTCTAAAACGAAAATGCACACAAGCTAGCTAACCCAGGCAATTGCTGCAGATTTCGGACTGGGCAACTGACAACAGAACATCACCAGCTCCACGAGCCCTGTCGTCCGGTACCTGACATTCCACTGACTTGCCAGTAGTGACATCTAGTATCAGTATCTAAAAGCCGCCCAGCGCGCGCGCCTGCCTGAGAACGCTACAGCCAGCACAGTCGCTCGTCACCCACAACCAAATCCCAGCTAACAATCAGCCAATGACCATAAGGTCATGTTAAGGTGCATAGATTTCCTCTAGCCAACAGTGTCACACAAGATTGCCGTGATTACAGAAGAATAAAAGCAAAACGGGGATGGTAGTTCAGTTTTCAACTCTACACCCACGGCCATGAGAGAAGCGTTACATCACCATGTTATTGTGCCTCCTAAACTTCGTGAGTTTGCACTACATTTCTGGGGAAAAAGTTGGCTTGTGCGTAGCGATCTGTTTTTAGTGGCACATGTTAGGTCTTGGTTTGTTAGACTGCATCCGGACTATCTTAAGCATACATTAGGCGTCATATATATCTGATCTTTTCACACTTTATCTACACAGCGCATGCACCAATCGATTGGTTTGAGCGACAGTCATGTTTTTGTGATCTTTTTTCAGCTCTCGTCATTCCATCAATGCATGTACACATGCTCACACACCTGGGTTTTGTTGAAGAGTGCGCAGTTCCAGTGCCGCAGGCCAAAGCAAACGCATTTTCAGGTGCCTCTTTAAATTCACTAGATGGCACCTTTTAAATTATTCCACTCCGTACCTTGCTGAGGACAGGCGTCTATGCTCAAAGCGGACGTTACACGACTTAGGGAGACCTCATCAGACATGTCATGCCCTTCTTTCGGCCCAGGCTGGTCACGGACAGCCCTCCTACACCCGAACTGTAAAGGCCTTCCAGCGAGCTAACGCCGCCGCTCCACTACCGTACTGCGGGAGCTGCAGAGGCCTTCCAGCGAGCTAACGCCGCCGCTCCACTGCCGTACTGCGGGACCTGCAGAGGCCTTCCAGCGAGCTAACGCCGCCGCTCCCCTGCCGTACTGCGGGAGCTGCAGAGGCCTTCCAGCGAGCTAACGCCGCCGCTTCACTACCGTACTGCGGGAGCTGCAGAGGCCTTTCAGCGAGCTAACGCCGCCGCTCCCCTGCCGTACTGCGGGAGCTGCAGAGGCCTTCCAGCGAGCTAACGCCGCCGCTCCACTACCGTACTGCGGGAGCTGCAGAGGCCTTTCAGCGAGCTAACGCCGCCGCTCCACTGCCGTACTGCGGGAGCTGCAGAGGCTTTCCAGCGAGCTGACGCCACCGCTCCACTGCCGTACTGCGGCTAAATTCAACCGTTGTATCTAACTTTTGGCGGCATCTAGTCAGGTTTATATCAAGACCACCAACGGTGACTATCTAACTCTGCACACATCTTGCATAACCGACTTCGTATTCAGTGGATAGTAAATGTATTTGGTACCTTTGTGCTTACCGCCTGCACCAGTACTGCGCGTGTAAATAGTACAGTTTGAGTCACTTTCGTTTGGTTCAGTACCCAAGCTGATATTCCAAGACTACTCCCCTGTCGCCTATAACTACTTGCATATGCTTATGCATGGAAAGAGAATGTATTCACAAGACCGTCAAGACAGAGGAACCAATTGTAAAAAGCGACGCACACTGTCTGCAAACAGCGGTCAAGTGAACTTCTCATGCCGGCTATGAGAGCATCCCCTACCCGAATGGTATATTACTTGGTTACCCAGAAAGTCTGCGTTCATGTTTCACACACATTTACGAAAAATAAATTTCCGGCGACTTCGAAAACTTTCAAATAAATAGAATCGTACACATTAATCGTAATAGTAATCGTAATCGTAAATAAATATAATCGTATAAGAACGGATAGAGTCGCAAGAAACCTGTGCCAAATAGCACGTCGGTGAAATTGAGACGCCACGTGGTGTATTTGTCTTCACAGAATTGCCTTAGTGTCATGAACGTGTTGCAGACACTGGGGTGGGGGAGCGAGTGTTTCGGAAGGGTGTTTCACCCGTCCACGTCACCGAAGATGCACTAATGACTGTTTTTAATGAATGGTATAGATATTGGGACGGCTGTTTATGATGAATGTTTCTCATAGATAAGACAATTGTAATATTCGTATTCTCTGGAACAAACCAGGCGCATGGAGATATAGATATGTTGATATTTCGGCGACATATCTTTATGGAAACAATAGAAGTGAATCGGGGTCATGCAGAAATCTCTTCATCTTCATTTTCACTTTTGCTATTGTTTCCATAAAGGCATGTCGCCGAAATATCAACATATCTATATTTCCATCTTCCTGGTTCCGAGGAATAAGGCTATTGCTACTGCGTTAGCTATGTGAGTGATGTTCCTTGCAAATGCACCGAACAACTTACGCAATGATGAATGTTTTTCTCTGAAAAGGAAACAAGTTGTATCGTTGCATGCAAAAATTATTGGAAAATATTTCACATTAATCGGGTTTTTCCTGTACCAAAGCTGACGAATATACAGACTAGGATCAAGTGGTGCCAGCCTGCGTGATGTGTGACTCGTATTGCTTGGATAGCCCAAGGCTACTGTTCTATAGATGACCAAGTGGGGCCGGTAGGACTACAGCAAAACGGCCGGTTCATCTGCTCAGAAGCTACACATGGACTCGGAGTGCTAACGTGAGGCATATCGACCATGACTTGGTCGACCACAAATATAATATGCGGGCTCGTTATCAGTGGCCAAGTTAAAGTTGAAAAGTAGTCATCATCGAACAAGCTTGTCTGTAAATGAAATATTTGGGCCGAACAACTTCAATGACTTGCTAGCAGTGGCGAAGTCCCTTCATCTTTACGTGCCATGCCAATTTATTGCACACTTTGTTAGAGACCTGTCATCCCAAAAGATCATGCCTGCACCCACCGAACCAGGTGGAGCGGTGGGAGGTGATAAAACACGACCTTTAGTTCGACAGCCAACCGGCCAGCCCCGTACAGCATTCTGAGCACGCCCCGAAGCTCTCTGACATGACAGGCACCGAAGTAGTTGGCGAACGATCGCTTCCGATGGTTGGTCATTCTCAAGTCCAGGCGCAGCGATGCATGCAAAACAGTCAGGCGCGAAAGAGATGAATGGATGGATGAATGGCACTGATTGAACCAATGTCATGTGCAGAAACGTGCTAGCGCGGGTCACAAAGCTGCTAAACCTGATAAATGGCAATGATGAGACCGATCTCATATGCAAAAACTGACACGAGATATAAAGCCGCCACACCTGATAGTATTGCATCAGAAGACCGTTCGACAATACTGCACGTTGTTTTAGGGTAAAAGTTTATTGGAATGCACGTATTTTTATTGAAAAAAAACCGTAGCTTTCCTAAGATCGTATAGCATTTCACAAACTTTGCGATCTTCGCGAACGTTTACGCGGTTTGTTATGGTCTTGTCCCATTTGATCATTAGGCTCTTTATCACACGGCAAGCGGTGTGAACAGCATCTTCGACGCTATCTGGTGTTCTTTGATATTACCTGGTGTGCCTTAGTATTTCAAACCTGAGTACACCAACGGACAAATGTCATAATGTAGGTTAAACGCAGGCAACCCCATGCAAGAACGGAGGTATCAGCGGTAATTACACCACACCTGATTGACTAAAGAGGATGGGCAAGAAGGAGAAGAAGCCGCTGATCACGCCGTCGGAAGACTCTGGCGACGGCCTCGGTCTCTCCGACAGCGACATGTCGCGGATGAAGAAGATCCATGACGTGTCGGACGACGCGTCAGACGAGTGGTTCCGCCCGAGTGTGCTGCTGCCGACGCTGGGCGAGCACGAGGCCACCTTCTTCCAGCTGGTACAGGACGGGGACCAGGACTCGGTGCGCGAACTGTTGCAGGACGAGCCGGAGCTGAACATCAACTGTTGCAACTTCGAGGGCCTTCGGCCACTGCACGTTGCGGTGCAGCAGGGCGACGAGAGCATGGTGCGCTTGCTGCTCAAGCAGCCCAAGATCGAGCTAGCCGACACCGTGCTGTATGCCGTGCAGGACAACCAGATCCGCCTGGTGCACCTTCTGCTCGACAAGCTGGCCGAGGATGACCCGGACCAAGAGTTCTTCGGCTACGAGACGAGCTCGCGCTTCACCCCCGACATGACGCCGTTGATCCTGGCGGCGCAGGCCGACCACTACGACATGGTACGCTTTCTGATGGCGCGTGGTCACAAGATCGTCAAGCCGCACCCGCCCGACTGTTTCTGCCCGCTCGAGTGCGCCAGCCGGCTGTCCGGCGAGGACCTGGTCAAGTCCTACCATCGCGTGCAGACCTACCAGGCGATGGCGTCGCCATCTTACATCGTGCAGTCGTCGCCGGATCCCATCTACACCTGCTTCGCGCTGCACAGCGAGCTGGGGCGGAACATTCACATGGAGCGTGAGTTCCGCACGCTCTATGAGGAGATCCAGGAGAAGACGAGCCAGTTCGCACTGGAGTTTCTCAACTACTGCCGCAGCACGGAGGAGGTGGAGCTCATCCTGAGCCGGCCGCTGGGCTGCGAGGAGGGCGCGCGACCCTTCCACTACCCACGCCTCCTCATGGCCATCGACTATGGTCAGAAGGAGTTCGTCACACATCCCAAGGTGCAGCAGGTGCTGACTAAGTTGTGGCTGGGCCAGCGCCAGGCCTGGCGGCGCTACAGCACGTCACGCAAGGTGATGAGCTTCTTCTTCATGCTGCTGATGCTGCCGTTGTCAGTGCTACTGATGCTGCTGTACCCGCAGTCGCGTCATGTCCGCTACTGGCACTCACCTATCAACAAGTGGATGAACTGGATGGCATCCTACCTGGTGTTCCTGTCACTGATTCTGCTTGAGTCAACCCTGGACGAGATGAGCCAGTTCCGCGGCCCGCCCGACTCGGGCCTCGAGTCGCTGCTGGTGCTCTGGGTGGTTGGCATCGCCGCCTCGCAGGTGCGCCAGTGCTGGCGACGCGGGCGGAAGCGCTACTTCAGCGACTCGTGGCACTGGTACGACACGCTGATGACTGTCGCCTTCCTCGCTTCGTTCGGCTGCTGGATCTGGTCCTACTACGACATCGTCACCTACGGAAACGAACGGTTGGAGCGCAAGTTCTGGTACCAATATGACCCGACGCTAATCGGCGAGGGACTGCTTGCCATCGCCAGCATCCTGGCCTTCGGCAAGACGCTTTACTTGTTTCAAATCAGCTCCAGTCTCGGCCCACTGCAGATCGCTCTCGGCAAAATGGTGACGGACATATGCGAGTTCCTGGCCATCTTCTTGCTCATCATCTTCTCGTTCGCGTCTGGCATGTATCGACTCTACGGCTACTACAAGGGCATGGAGCGGCTGGACGGCTCGGGTGTCAAGACGTCGCAGCTCAGCTCGTTCGTCACGCTGCACGGTTCGGTGCGCACGCTGTTTTGGGCGCTGTTCGGCATGGCGCCGCTGGAAGCGGTACAGGTGGTGGTGGAGAATCTGCCCGGCGGTTCTCCCGAGCTGCCCATCATCAACAAGCACAACTTCACCGAGGCGGTCGGTTACACGCTCTTCGCCGTCTTCCACGTGCTCTGTGTCGTCATCCTGATGAACATGCTGATCGCCGTCATGTCCGACACGTTCGAGCACGTGCACGAGTTCGTCGACAAAGAGTGGAAGTTTGCCCGCACCAAAGTCTGGATCTCGTACATTCTCGAGCCGCCCATCCCGCCGCCGTTCAACCTGCTGCCGTCGGCCGAGTCGCTGTGGCGCGCCGGCCGCTGGTGCTGTGTCTGCCTGACGCGGCCGCGAGGGCGCACCGCCCAGTGCTCGGCGCAGAAGTGCTGCTACATCCCCGAGGAGCTCCACTACCCGCGCGACGACCCGGCTGGCTTCAAGATCCTGATGGCGGCGCTGGCGCAGCGCTACTTCCGCGATCGGCACGCGGCCGAGGCCGAGGAGGCCGCCTCGCTGCGAGAGACGAGCGGCTTGAAGCGCGAGCTGGCGACGCTGAAGGGCGAGCTGCGCGACATGGCGCGAGGCGCTTCCAGCACCACCCTGCAGAAGATCAAGTCCCGTGGCAGGCTTGCCTCGTGAGCTCATCGATTATTGTGGTGGAATCTTAATTGAGCTTTATTTGAACGTTAAGTGCTTCTTTGGTTAGGGAGGGATGGGCAGCTCCTTAAAAAAAAACAGTGGGTTCGTGCCGGGCGTCCAGTTAAGTTGTGTACAATCGTATGTACTCTCCTTACGCATCCTTCTTAGCGGCTTGCAGTTGTGGTGTTTGGTGACTTAGAAGCCTACTGTGATGATGACTGGTACTGTGTTATTTCTCTAAATGTTATGACTCCACTCTGATGTCAATGTACATACACTTTAATACCAATGTAATGGTAACTGACAGCCGTCAGTCAGCTTATTGCACCATGGACAGCAAACGGTGTTGCCACTCTCGAAACTCCATGCGAGAAAATAAACCATAAAGTCAGCACTTGTCGAGAAGAACTGATTTAGCAACCGCTTCTCATTATCTAAACAGTGGAAAATGTGTGCGTAGTGAAAAAACGAAAGCGCGGAACAGAGGGACATCGCAAGCCCGATGGCACGCAGCTCTGAAAGCGATCCACGGCACGCATCGCCAGACCGTGCCCACGGGTGCGCCATTTTGAGTGATCGGTAAACATCCCCCGCGTGACAGAACGCACAAAGCGGCCGTCAGCGCAGCCGGCGCGCGCCGGTGGCCTCGCCGGCTGCTCCCGAGCGGTTCCGGCGAAAGCTGATCATTAGCCAGACTCGCAGGCGTGTATTACGCGCATCACGGCTCGTCGTCATGCGGGGGGTGACCGGCGGCCACGCGGACGCCGTGACCCCGCCTTTGAGCGGCTGTCGGTGCCGATCACGGCCCGCTGGTCGGCGACGACTTTATTGCGGCGCGCCGGTGACAGGCGCCGCCGGCCGGCGCGTCGGAGACGACTGCGGCGCGGCGGCCTGACGCGGCGGCGGGGCGGCGGCGGGCCGCGAGGGCGGGCCGCGGCGACGCCACCCCGGGCGCGGCTGGTCGACGATGTGACACCGAAGGGGGCGGGGTAGAGATCGGCGAGCGGCGGTAGATACCATCGGTTTTGGCAGGATCTTCATAGCATTGCTTTATACGGATTCTTCAAGACGGCTATTTCATCGGACTGAGTGAGATGGCCATGATGTTCACAGCCGTTGTTTGATGATGCGTTCTGTCCCTATTAAGTCGCACGGACAGACGTAATATTTTGCACCAACCCTGTGTTATATTGCTTCCTTAACCATCCCTTGGATACTGCCAACGTACTGTACTCTTGAACATTTATTCCTGCGTAAACTGTTTTCTACGTCTTTTTTGTCATGTTGTTACTTGGCTAGTAAATCTTGAGTTGAGCAACATAATGCTGGTGCGTCTCAACCAAGATGCATGTCAATGATTGAATAATCGCTCGCATGTCTCATCTGTCAAACGGTGCAAACATACTAAAGCGAGGCAAACAACGGAAACAAACCCTCGTAAGAAAATCACGACGTCGCAAGTTGATAAGTGGTGGAATCCGAAATCCAAGTCCTCAGATGCGTTTCGGCACCTTTCGACAATTCTGATAAAAAGGTGCCTGTTTTTTTTTGTAAAAGACATGTACGCATCGGGACCAGCATCAGGGCAATGAATACGCGACAAAAGGCTGGATATGAGAATTTTGTATATATATATATATATATGCATATATATATATATATATATATATATATATATATATATATATATATGTGTGTATATATATATATATATATATATATATATATATATATATCGACCGTACAATGATTGGCTGAACTTCAAAGCGGCAAAGGCCGGCGAGTGCTGCTGTCCGTTACGCGGTCTCAGTGCCAGTCGAGGCACGGCTTGTTCCGCGCGAGGCACGCCAGGCAGCACCGCAAGCCGAGCCTCGGAGGTGACAGGGCCGGTTTTTGTTACGCCTACCGACGCGGCCTCCAGGCAACAGCTTTCCTTACACAATTGGCTCAATTGGCGAGGTGTTAGCAGCCAGGAAAAACCTGGATCTGAATGGAAAAATGCCCGAGAGGTGCAACACACATGGCTTTTTGTCCGTTTGTTTCTAAAAGAACGTATAAAGTTACATAAAACAGGAACACGGTGAGTTTTTGCCGGACTGAAAATCGCTCCCTAAGGGGTATGAAGCCGCGGCTTTCAATAAAACTGAGTTCCATCCAGACCTAAAAAGGAGGCATTCTGCAAACTCTGCATATGAAAGTAGCTCATCGGTCACAACTGTTGTCGGCTAATGAAGTGGAAACAGTGCGGCAGAAGGTCATACATAAAAACGTTCCAGAATGAAAGCTAAGCGAGGACAGAATGCCACATTCTTAATCTCACCATAGTCCTAAGCTAATTTCACACCTTTTTCTGGGCCTACAAAACCGTTTTCAAACACACGGGTGGAAACGTCAGAGATCTCCAAAAGGTCGCTACTAGCAAAATATACATACTCATCGGCAGCTGTAGATTTACATATCTGATCACGCCTGAAAAACGGCGCCTCGGCTGGTGTATGTAGATCCGCCGGCTGTCGCTCAGCGTTGGCAGATGTGGCTGGTGTGAACGGAGCGATAACGACCCCCAGTGGTCGCATGTTGTCTGCCGTGTCCCAACCACGCCTGATGAATCTCTCCTACGGAGACACATCGCCTGCCCAAGGCAGCAGTGTTGCAACAAGCTATCTACCGAGGCGCATGCGCGCACGGTGATTGAGGTGAATTGGTGCAGACCATTAGACGGCGAAGACTCTTTGTGGACGGTGCAACCTCTAGGGCTTTGCCGTTGGGCATGAAGACATCGTCACGAAGCGTCGTCATGGATGATCCCTTTTTTCCCATACGTCAGCATCAGGAGCGCATTTCCTCGGACGAATACGTTGGCAATGAGGCACCTCAGCGGCCTTGGCACGGGCACACGGAAGACGAGGCTGGATAGGGCAACCAACTGAGAAATAGCTCGTGACGAATGTTACCGGTCGTTTTCCGTTCCATGGTCTCCCTGCCGGACGGGTCAGCACGCGGGTCGTACCCGCGGACGACGCTCTAGTTTTACGACACGTTCTGGCTCTTTGTGCTCGGACGGGCGGTGTGGCGCGTGTTTTGTGTTGCATGACACCACCAGCAATGAGAGAAATGTAAATATTTGTGACCGGACGTGGCCAGGCCCGGGAGGGACCGAGGCATAAATCACAGGGGGGAGACGGCAGTAAAACTGTCGCAGGGGACGGGAATTCCGGTACGTGGGAGGTACGATGCCAGAAGGCAGCTGGGGCGGAACCAAGCCGATTGGATCTAGATAATGACCATCGATACATAGCGGGAGAACCGTTAGGTGCTTCCAGTTGGAGCCCAGCAGGGGATTGGTCATTGTGGGGATGAGCTGAATGGGTTCTTCTACCGGTGGAAGGCGTTTATCGGCAAAGTTACCCCGCAATGAATCGTGGGGAAACTGAATCGAAGCTTGCATTTGTTGACACAGCCATTGGGACAGCTATTTCTTGCAATTTTTTCCGAGCAGAGATCGTCGTCTAAGAAATTTCAAGTGCTTACATGTAAGATGCAGCAAAGTTTCAAAACGCACGTTCGTGCTTTCCATGTTTAGTTAAACTGAGGAACGTCGTTATGATGTTTGGCCTATTTTTAAAAAAGCATATCTACGCATTCGCGCACGGCTCCCGGAACGTATGCTGATCTGCATGTGAATCGAAATTTTGGACGAGACCAAACGTTACTGCTGAACTTTGCCCACTCCCCAGGTGTTTGTCCCCGCGGAAATAATCGCAACCTCCGGCACGCAGAGGCCTGAAACACCGCTCATTGTCACCGCAGCAAATTCTTGTATCTGAGCTCCACCAAACACCGTCTATTTACTCTGGTGGTGGGCCGACAAAGGCGGTCTGGACTGCATTCCTCTTGGCACGCGCTGCCCTCTGCTGTGGCGTGCATTGTCGCCAATCAGCCTGCGGCAGGAATTCGGGATCGGGGGGGGGGAGCGTCGTTGGGTTTGATGGATGGAGGGCAGACCGGAGCGCTGTGACGAACCGCGCCACCCCCGCGACAATGCCAGGCCTGATTTACTCAGATACGGTAAAAACCGCCGCCGCCGCCGCCGCCGCCGCCGCCGCACTGCGAGGGATTTATGAGCCAGCGCTGGGCTGCGGGTCCCACGCCGAACACGCCACGATCGTCGCTCACGACGCCTCCGTCTGACGAAGAGAGCCGAGGGTCGTCAGCCGCGGGTCCCACGCCAAACACGCCACGATCGTCGCTCGCGACGCGTCCGTCTGACGAAGAGAGCCGAGGGTCGTCAGCCGCGGGTCCCACGCCGAACACGCCACGATCGTCGCTCGCGACGCCTCCGTCTGACGAAGAGAGCCGAGGGTCGTCAGCTGCGGGTCCCACGCCGAACACGCCACGATCATAATATGAAGCATGGTTTATCGTTCAAAGCGCCTTGGTATGAAACCATCGTCCTTTCAGTGAGTAATAAGCTATGTATACTAACGGTTGCCATCCTATCCATCAGCACGCATCCACTCATTCCTGATATAGGCATAATACAAGCATCACATACAGTATCCTTCCATATGGCCTAGATCGGCTCCCGAACATCTTCCGCTCGCAGTGCCAAACCTGAGCATCCTGCTGGACTGGTAACCTAAGAAGAAAAACATGCCGGCAGACAATTTTCATATTATTCCTGCGGGAGCCGCGCCGTTTACGCCAGCGGTGGCGGTGTAATTTTTCCATTACGGCTGGACGTGACGCTGCTGGGCGCTCGGAGGGCGGCGCCGTCCGCTCGAGGCCTCGGTCAGGTGTTGGGAACCGAGTCTGGGGAAAACGTGACGCACAGCGGCACTCAAATGGGGCCGACCCCGGATTAACGGCGCTCATCTCTTGTTTTTCATTCATTTTTCTCGGGCGCCCTCTTTTTGTCGGCGTTAAGACGAAATCAAAGGGTCCGCAGAAATTCAGGGAGAAAGTTGTCCTGTAAAATTTAGCTGAATGGGGAAGGTCGTGATACAGTTTGGAGCAAGCCTAATTACGCCACTTAGCTGGGGCGAGAAAAAGGATGAATTGAAGCTGCCTGGCGGTGTCTAATGTCTCACGCCGACTACTGGATGCAATTCAATCCAGAGCACGCAGCACGTTGCCATCTTGGTGAAGGTGCTTAAAATGACCGAAAATGCTCTAATAATGAGCTTCTAGTATTTACTCATACATCCCACATGCTGCACACATCTCACAAAGACCACTACTTTTAACATGCGCCCTGGTGGCCGGCCGAATAACCTTCGCTTGGGTAGGAGGTCAATTCGACCCCACTCAGATCTCAAAA